AGCGTGTCTATCAGGTAATACATTTGTTAGTCAGAAATACCATAGTAAATGTAGAAGTCTTCGTTGTTCCAAATACGGAGGCTAGATTGCACAGCCTATGTGAGCAAATATAATCTAAATTCCCATGTAATCCCTGACTCACTTTTTTTGGTCTGACTCCCATCCTTGGTCAAAGCCCTGTCTCTGGCTCTGTAGAGATCTGGGATCTCGTGACTGGCGATAGCAGCCCCTGCCATCTATGTAGCCCCAGTTTGACCCAGTGTTGCCTGACAGCCTCAGAGTGGACAGTGCGGTTGGGAAGGGGTGTTATGGGCAGTTAGAATGCAACTCCATGAGCCTACTAGAAAAAGAAAAAAAAGAAAGGAAAGTAGCAACATGAAAGAGGACATGCTCAGTAATTCTTGGGGTTAGAAGGTAGGGCAGGAAGCTGATTCACAGTAATATTGATGTCCCCTGATATCTACACACCAAAGCACAGAGTTTGAGTGATGAGGTAATTTCAAAATTACCCCAAGAAAGCAAACAGTATTTCACAATACTAGATAATATAGTATAGTTTATACTATACTGAGATACATTTGGACAGGACATGCGGCTAGAAGCAGCTCTAGAAGAGTATTCTTTCTTCCAAAGAAATAACAAGAGAGGGAGACAAGGTATTGAATGGTTGGTCAGTCCACAGCTTTATCTCTCACCTCATTCCCCTTAGCTCTCCACAGCTGCTGCCATGACCGTCTTTTAATTCCTTAAATGAAACTTTCCCTCCTTTCCACCACAGGGCCTTCGCACTTGCTGATTCCACTGCGTGGAACACTTCCTCTTTCTGCCCATACTAGACCAAGTTAATCCCTATTTATCCTTAAGGTCTTAGATCTTCATTAGGAAACCCCTGATCTCCCAGACTAGATCAAATCTCACCATTATAACCTCTCAACATACTATTCATCTCTCCTTCACAGCACTTATTCATTACAGTTGGAGTTTTACATATTATTTGTGTGTTTTTGTAATTCATGAATATCTTGCCCATCAGCCTATAATTTTCAGGACAACTGGGTATGTGTCTGTTTTAAGTAATCCTTGTAACCTCAGCAACAACTTTCTCTGGCAAAAAGAGCAGATAACCATAAATATGTGTTGGATGATTAATAGTAGGGTTCTGCAAAAGCCTTCAATGAACCTAAGGTCAAAAGTACAGTGGGAAACATTCAGAAGAGGAAAATAAGAGAGGAAACAGAAATATTATCTTTAGAACACTACACACTAGCAGGTTACAGATTAGCAAAGATAAGTTCCCAGCTGTTTGACTAACCATATCAAAACAGTACTGGCTACTGGACCTCTGATATCCTGGAGAGAAGTTTCTGCTGGTGTATTAGTGGGTTCCATCTGAGATCCAGCCCTATTTTGAATAATACAAAAGTCTTGCCTATCTTGTTTGCAGATGACATGTAAGTCAAAAGGTTTATGATAGAGCCAATGACAGGACTTAGATTATGAATAATGCCAATGGAAATACTAAGCCAAAACTGATAAAAGGTAACAGACATATGTTAAATTAATTTTGCAAGTACATGATATGGAAGGGAAGTTTGGGCTTGACTATTTTGTTTATGCAAAAAAAATATTTAATTGCTGACCACAAATTCATTAGGAACCAATGTTTTGATTCAACGGTAAAGATGCTAACGGTACAGAGAGTGGGAGGTCATGGTCTCATTTTACTGGAAGACTCTCAAACACTGTATCTATTTCTTAGAACCAGTTTTGGCCCTGGAAACCTTGAGATATGAAGAATGGTTAGAGCAGCTGGAAAAGTTTAGCCTGCAAAAGTAAACACTAAGAGAAAACAAAAACTGACCTTGGATAGAGGCAGCCAACTAAGTTTTGTACTTCCAGCTTCAGAAATGATGCTCTTTAAAAATATCTCATGATTTTTTATTTCTGTAATTTCTGATTCTTTTTTGTTATGTTGTTTCATTTATTCCTATTTTTGTTTCCTAATTCCTTGTTTGTTTTATGAATATTATGCATTTTCTTTGAGAATTCTTTGAAAAAAACATATTTTGTTTTCTATCAGCTCATCTTTTTTTAGCTAGGTTGTGGCCTTTTTTTAATTGTCCTGTAGATTGTGCTACTGCTTTTATTTGTCTGAGGTGATTTGATTTTTTGATTATTTTGTTGTCAGTCTTTCTTGAAATATATTCCTGCATGTGTTTTGGTAATTTGGTTTGCGGGTTTATTTTTACTGGAAAAGTTCTTTCCTTCCTTTTCCTTCCTCTCCTTTTCTTCTCTTCTTGTACTCCCCTTCCTCTGCCTGTGTGGTTTACTTTGCTTCTGTTTGGTTCCTGTGGCTCCCAGTCCAGAGCCAGCTGAGTACTAACACTCTGGGCTCCTGCCCCATGGTGCTAGGAAAGATGCAGCTAGCACATCCGCCAGCTGCTTGGTTAGTTTGCCTCTTAGGCATTTGTTTTGCATAGAGAACATTTACTCTCTGTTCCCTTCATAGAGGCTGTACTTTGGGTAGCCTCTACCTGCTTCTCAACTGGTGGAAGTCCACCAGGATCTTGGCGTTTGCTCTCTTCGGCTCTGTGTTTCTGTTCCATTTCGGACTCAAGGAGAGGTACAGAAGAGTACATAAGATATACGTGTACACGGTTTTAAGGAAGGATAGTTACCTTTCATTATAACCACCCCTGGCTATATCTTTTACATCTCACTGTCATGTGCTTGTAGTAGTGGGGGATGGGAACCTCCAACATCATTTTGATGGCGTGCACCTGTCCGCTCTAACGGCAGGTGGCGCTCAGAGACTTCAGTGAGCTTCAGTGTCAAACCCTCTGGGTCATAGGATAGATACTCTGGTCTCTTGGGGATCATTGGTTTTATGGGCAACCCCAGAGCCTTATAAATTGTTTAGCACCAGTATTTTCTTACTAGGTGTGGTTACCATTACTGCCTTTTCCTCCAGTTAAACAAATATTAGCTCAAGAGCTTTTTATCCTGACAAGTTTGTCAATTCAAGTCTGTGAACTCTATATATTCCACCCGCAAGGAAAGACAAGGTCATTTTATACATTGAGTATATTGCTCCCTGCACCTAAGGCCTTTAAGGTTTTAAAAATGTACATATAAAAAAGTACATATATATATACATAAAAATATAAAAAGGAAATGATTTTTTGATTATTTTGTTGTCAGTCTTTCTTGAAATATATTCCTGCATGTGTTTTGGTAATTTGGTTTGCGGGTTTATTTTTACTGGAAAAGTTCTTTCCTTCCTTTTCCTTCCTCTCCTTTTCTTCTCTTCTTGTACTTCCCTTCCTCTGCCTGTGTGGTTTACTTTGCTTCTGTTTGGTTCCTGTGGCTCCCAGTCCAGAGCCAGCTGAGTACTAACACTCTGGGCTCCTGCCCCATGGTGCTAGGAAAGATGCAGCTAGCACATCCGCCAGCTGCTTGGTTAGTTTGCCTCTTAGGCATTTGTTTTGCATAGAGAACATTTACTCTCTGTTCCCTTCATAGAGGCTGTACTTTGGGTAGCCTCTACCTGCTTCTCAACTGGTGGAAGTCCACCAGGATCTTGGCGTTTGCTCTCTTCGGCTCTGTGTTTCTGTTCCATTTCGGACTCAAGGAGAGGTACAGAAGAGTACATAAGATATACGTGTACACGGTTTTAAGGAAGGATAGTTACCTTTCATTATAACCACCCCTGGCTATATCTTTTACATCTCACTGTCATGTGCTTGTAGTAGTGGGGGATGGGAACCTCCAACATCATTTTGATGGCGTGCACCTGTCCGCTCTAACGGCAGGTGGCGCTCAGAGACTTCAGTGAGCTTCAGTGTCAAACCCTCTGGGTCATAGGATAGATACTCTGGTCTCTTGGGGATCATTGGTTTTATGGGCAACCCCAGAGCCTTATAAATTGTTTAGCACCAGTATTTTCTTACTAGGTGTGGTTACCATTACTGCCTTTTCCTCCAGTTAAACAAATATTAGCTCAAGAGCTTTTTATCCTGACAAGTTTGTCAATTCAAGTCTGTGAACTCTATATATTCCACCCGCAAGGAAAGACAAGGTCATTTTATACATTGAGTATATTGCTCCCTGCACCTAAGGCCTTTAAGGTTTTAAAAATGTACATATAAAAAAAGTACATATATATATACATAAAAATATAAAAAGGAATTTGTAAAATTGGAATGGATGTTTAATTACTTTCAAATTAACATTATGTCATTAATTGTTCAGTTAGGAGTAAAAACCTTTTACATTTTGTAGCAATTTGCGGTTGGATTTCTTATTTCACAAGAATCCGATCATCTACAGATATCAGAAATCATAGCTAATTATAAATTATATCACTTTCAGATTAAAAATTTTGAAGTGCAACTTCTTTCAAACTTTCTTTTTTGCAGCGAAAAAACTTTTTAATGTATGCCTGTATGTTTGATGTGGTGTGGCACTAGTCTTCCAGAAGAAAAGAGTTTTTAAAAGGGCCTTAGGGAAATGGAAGGAGCTGAAAAGAGACAAAAAGAATGGAGACAGTGAGAGATAAAAGAGCGTTGAGAGAACGGAGATGCCCGCTGAGCGGCCGCTGTGTGCCAGGCATGGTCCGGGAACTGAGGGTCCAAAAGCAAAGTCACGGCCCTCCGAAGAAGTCACAGTCAATGAAACCAAGTGGTGCCATTCAGGTGTGCCCACCGGGGGTCAAGAATGTACGGGGAGAACTCCCCTGGGGACAGGAGCTAGGGAGGCTTCTCTCAAGAGGCGACACTTGATCTGAGCGGAAGCCCGGGGAAAAACGGGGCGGAGGATGAGGAAATGTCAAGAGACAAGGCAAGAAGAGCGGGCGAAAAGGGGGGAAAAAGGGGGAAGGGCTCGATGCGATCGGCGCTCCGGCGCTCCGGCGTCCGGCGCCGACTGCTAAAGTCTGAGCGCGGTCACGGCTCCTCCCTCCGCACCCGCCTCCCCTCCCCTCCCCTCCCCGCGTCTCCGCCGCCCGCTCGGCCTGCGGGAGCTCGGAGGCTGCCGGCCAGCGGGAGACGCCATGTACCGGCTACTGTCAGCCCTGACGGCCCGGGCCGCGACCTCCGGCGGTTGGGCCTGGGGCTGCGGGAGGCGCAGGGCCCACCGGCGCGCCGGGCGGCCGCCGCTCGGCGCCGGCTGGGTCGGGGGCCTCGGGCTGGGGCTGGGGCTGGCGCTCGGGGCGAAGCTGGCGGGCGGGCTGAGGGGCGCGGCCCCCGCGCCGTCCCCAGCGGCCCCCGACCCCGAGGCGCCGCCTCCGGCCGAGCCTCTGCCGCCGCAGGAGCAGCCCCTCGCTCCTTGGTCTCCACAGACTCCGACGCCGCCCCGCTCCAGGCGCTTCTCCAGAGCCATCGACAGCAGCCGCGACCTGCTGCACAGGATCAAGGTGCGGCGACGGAGGACGAGGGCGGCCGGGAACCGGGCGCCCCACCCCCGGCTTCACCCCGGCATGGGGCCCCTGGGTGGTCATCTCCCGCGCCGAACGGGCCCCACCCGCGGCGGGGGATGCCAGCGGCCAGCTTGAGGAAGACTCCCCCTTCCCCGACCTCCCGGCAACAGCCAGACGTTGTTGGGGGGTTGTCTGGATGCGGGTGGAGGTCATCGCTCTCCTCGGGGACCGTCCCTTCCCCGTCAGGGTGCTGACCCGGCACACCCCTCGACTTTCGACATACATATTGTAGAGAAAACATGTTTAATAGAATAAAGAGTCGTGTTTTTCTTCTGGTTTGCAGCTGAATTAAATTGATGGTTAGCTACATGGGGTTTGCAAGGACATCTTTTCTCACCCATTTTTTTGGGGGTCGCTATTTTAAGGAATTTAGTGGAAAGCCACTCAAAAATCAAGAAAAAATATAATCTGAAGAACAATCATTCTCCAGAATGTAGAGTAATTTATTTAAAACGTGAAATAAGCAAATTTTTTAGATAAGCTATGAAAAATTAACATCTGAATCAGAAAATTACTATTGTGTAACAGGGTACAATCTCAGTTTAGTTATAAGGTTAAATTGTTAGGCTTAACTGGTGTCAGTGTTACCAAGACTCATGTTCCGTTTTAATTAGCTTAAAGTGAAATATCTTTTCCTTTAGATAAATACGGAGGATGTTTTAAGATAGTATTATTAAAGACTCCTTTGATCATGAAGCCTATTAATAGCTTTTTGCATTTTTTCCCCCAAAGGTTTAGGTTATGCTGATGTTGAGAACCGTGTGCCGTGCAAGCCAGAGACAGTTATGAGAATTGCCAGTATCAGCAAAAGCCTCACAATGGTTGCTCTGGCCAAATTATGGGAAGCAGGGAAACTGGATCTTGATATTCCAGTACAACATTATGTTCCTGAATTCCCAGAAAAAGAATATGAAGGTGAAAAGGTAATGAAACTCACAGTTGATTGTATTAATGGCATGTTAAATGGCTTAAAAGGCTTTATACGATTCTTTGGTTTGGTTTTAATTATTGCTAATGAATCAAAGGTATTTTTTTTATCCAGATGATAATAGAGTGGGTATTTTTCTGAAGTTTGAGGCAAAACAGATATACATGACATATTTTTCCCAGCAGCATCTAAAATGGAAAATATTAGTGAGACATTATTCTAACGCCACTAACTTTTTATTATGCAGTTTAATAGTGTAATTGAGTTTTCATGTTTTTATGATTAGGTTTCTGTCACAACAAGATTACTGATTTCCCATTTAAGCGGAATTCGTCATTACGAAAAGGACATGAAAAAGGTGAAAGAAGAGAAAGCTTACAAAGCCTTGAAGATGTTGAAAGGGACATTGGAATCTGACCAAGAAAAAGAGTTAAAAGAAAAAGGAGGCAGAAGTATTGAAAAGAGTGACTTTGCTAAAGCTAAGACAGAGCAAGATAATGATGCCAAAAGCAGGAATTCAAAACCTGGCAAGAAAAAGAATGATTTTGAACAAGGCGAATTATATTTGAAAGAAAAGTTTGAAAATTCAATTGATTCCCTAAGATTATTTAAAAATGACCCTTTGTTCTTTAAACCTGGTGAGTGTTAATTTTTATCTTAACAAAGTCATTATTGAAGTATTTTCAGAAAATTCAGAATTGTACCATCCTGAGTGCACTGGATGTTGATGACTGTGGCATGAGTTTTGTTGTCAGTCCAAGGCTTGCATTTTTGTCTATAGTTCCTGACAAAGCCTAGCATCTAGACAATTAGTTGTTTAGATTTAGTCTCATTGGAGGCTACCCAGTCATTTAGTGGATTCTCAATATCAAGATATTTGTGGATATATGATGGGAAAACAGTAGTTCTCCAAATAAAATCTGGACCAAAGTGGGAATGATAGCGTATCGCTATTATTTCAGTATTTTGTATTTTAGTATTTAAATTGCTCAACTTCTTTTGTCTTTATTCCTTAAAGAAATTAGTATTCATCAATTTAATTTTATTTCCCCAAAGCTCATCTTTAAAAATTATTTTTTTTTGTATTTTTTATGGTATGATGCCTACTGAAGCCACAATAGCTTCAAGTTTACCATAGGTTTATGGACATGTATTCCATTTTCATTTTAAAAGGTTTTTTCTTTACCATGAATAGATATTATGTAGGCATAATTAATAAGGGCAAAGAAATATAATTATGAATCTTGTTTTAAAAAGTAACATTCCCACCCATTTTTAGTACAGATAATGCAATCTATGTTTCCAGAATCCAAAATAATATAAAGGTATGTATTTAAAACAATATATATATTTGAATCTGTATATATATTTTAATATATATTTAAAGCAAGGTGTTTATACCTACACATATTAAAATAACTTGCACAACTATGCCTTAAGCATTGGGTAGGAGATATATTAAGAACAAAACAATTAACTCAAGAAACCAAATTTGCTTTTCTTTCCCGTCCTGTTTTGTTGCTAGTTTGAAAGATTTTTATTTAGTTCTGAGATAGGACTTAATTTGCTTATTTCATTATCGCAGAAAGTATTGATTTATGCAGAATTTTAAGTGTACTAATCATCATTTTATTCTTTTGTTGGAGACATGGAATAAACAGGGCCATTGCAAAGTTGACTCTATTTGTTAATGTATCATCCATGATCTTTTCGTAAATGCTGAAGTAAAATATTCCAGTTTTAAAGGTATGCCAGTTTTCAGTGGGAAAATATTTTACATATTTTTAAATAATAATGAAGTATTTTCTTTTCTTTCCCCCTTGCAATGATGTCTCAAGGTAGTCAGTTTTTGTATTCAACTTTTGGCTATACCCTACTGGCAGCCATAGTAGAAAGAGCTTCAGGATATAAATATTTGGACTATATGCAGAAAATTTTCCATGACTTGGATATGCTGACAACTGTGCAGGAGGAAAATGAGCCAGTGATTTACAATAGAGCAAGGTAAATGAATACCCTCTGGTGTGTCTAGCTATTTATCACATCCTAACACTATGCTATCAATTAAAAGTCAAATTTTCCTTGTCTCCATTCCAAAATCTACTTGCCACATTTTGGGAACTTTTCTACATGTTTGTTTTTCCATCTATAAAGTGAGGGAAATAAAATGTATTTGTAAAGTATCCTAAAATCCTTAGATGAAAGACAGCAATAATAATTTAAGCCCAAAATTGCCCCCACAACCGGGATTCTATAATTTGCTCTTCCACCATCCCTTTCTTATGTTTTAGCTAATGGTTTGTTTGTTTACTGTTTATTATTTTTAATTGCTTTTCAATTTTGAAATGATTTCATAGAGAAAAGTTACATGAGTAGTACAAAGAATTCCTATGTACCCTTCATCCAGATTCCCCAATGTTATCATTTTAGCATATTTGCTTTATCTGTCTATATATATATGTTTTTTCTCAACCATTTGAAATTAAGTTGCAGACATGGTACCCCTTTACCCATACCCATAAACACTTAAATGTTTTTGTTTTTTTTCTTCTGAAAACAAGGGCATTCAGGAAATTAACATTGACACAATGCTTATACCAAATCTACAGCCCTTACTCAAATTTTGCCAATTGATCCAATAATTCCTTTATAGCAACAGGAAAGGGAAGAAAAAATTCCTTCTGATCCAGGATCCAGTTCAGGATCACATACTACATTTAGTTGTCATTTCTCTCAGAGGTCATGTGAGCTCAATTTGTGCCATTACTAATGATGGTAGTTTTAATTGTTTCTTGAGGTGGGAGCTGCCAGGTTTTTCCACTGTAAAAGTTTGGAAGTCATTTCACTGAGATATATCAAACTAAGTTTTATCATAATTTTTACTGGTAGTTTGTAAAAGGCATTGGGAGAGATTTTTGAGGCTAATGACTAAAAGGAGTTTCATGGATATGGTGTTTTCCTTTCCCATTTTACTCTATTATTATTCAGTTTGTTAGAAATGTAACACACTTACCAAATCAACCATTACTTTCACCTTGTGTATTTCCATTAGTACATGCTTTACAAAATGTCTTAATGGAACTTGAAACTGACAAAAGAGTGGAATATTTTTAGCTTTATTATTCCTATTCCCATACTAGTTTTGTTCAATCATATGTTGTATTTAAATTATTTTTAAATTATCATCTTACTTAAAAAAATTAAATGTGCACTGCAAATCATCCTGAGTTTCTTGGACCTAAAAGGAATTAGGTTAGCAGCAAGCAATGAATTTTAATTTTTAAATGTCTTGTAGTTCTCTACCATTTCAGACAATTACTGTTCATTATTTTTAGATCCAACTATATACCCTACTGGGAAGTATAAGAAAAATGAACAAATACCAAACGTTGTCAATTGAATCTAAAAAAAATTGTCTAATAAAGATGGCATAGTGCACACCGTATTTTGATTAAGGCATTTGATAATTGACTCAACTAATATAGAAGGGAGAGAAAAACATTACGTATAGTGATTGAGCCTCTTTTCTAAACAGAAAGTTAAGGCTGTATGATACAGAGTGTAGGGCAGCTATCATTCACTGTTTTCTTGATGAGTGAATCATTTTTGACTTGCCCAAAAATCCGAATATGGCATATGATGGTTAATTTCATTTTATCTTTCATTCTTTGAAAAAAGGCAGTCGGTTTCCATTTCTACTCTTAAAGGTTCCTGTCAGCTCTGGATATCTTTAGAGTTTGGTAGTGCCCAGTGGTGCTAAAGGGATAGTTGATTTAGTTAGATTAAATGGGCTGTTGAAATAAAAAAGGGCACTAAAAGTAAGAGTTATTATTATTTAGGAAAATGTTCTGTCCATTACTTTGTTTTTATTTTACTTGATACAGTATCTATCTGGGCTGCTAAAATGCAACTCTGGTTTTTTCTTTTTCTTCTGTATAATAATTATTTTAAGAGAGCTTAAAGACACCAGTTTTGAGGGGAAGTTCTGGGAGCAAAAGGAATCTTCAAAGATACGTATTTTTAAAAACCTTATAGTAAAACTTTAGTAAACGCATGTTTCTATTCATTTGTTTCATTGGACCATTTTGTAGGAAATAAAATTTCCAAAAAAAGTTTGCAGCTTTGTTATTTAGTCTGCTGACTACTTGGTCATAATCATAAATTAAATATGTATTATCCTGTCCTAGGCTTTTTAGAGTTATTATGTCACAAGAGTAAATATTTATCATCTTTATCACTTTTCTGTGTGTATATGTGTGTTTAAAATAGTGCCTCCTCGTGTCTGTCATCTTTTTAAGGTATTTCCTGAGAATCTAACCCAAAATAGTACTTACATTTCTTTGGCTGCAATTTTAGCAACTTAGGCTGTAAGGGATGCAAAAAAATTAGTTTTTAGCTAGGTGCATTGTCCTGAATAAAACTGAAATTTTCTTAAATGGAAGAATAACAGTATTTTCTATATGCAAATATACTGATTTTGTAATGCAAGTATATTCTATATAGGCAAGTAAACTAAATACAATTTTCCCCATCATATGTATTTTTTACTCCTTTTTCATATATTACACAAAACCCATAAGGGAGTGGAGTGAATGTTCTTGCCACTGAAAGATACTCAGTTTGTTGACAGGGGAATCCTTCGTGCATTAGCTTATTATTAGACTCTGCTTATATTTTCTGTCCTTGGTACAGTACTTGGCAGCAAAAATATCTTATGTAATTAGATGAGACCAAAACGAAAAAAAATTTCTGAAGTGTTTGCTGTATCTTGACAATATACATAAGGCTTTTATCTTCTATTATTATCTTTATTATTAGCTTTATTTTCTAGAGTATCTTCTAAAATTAAGCACTGTTTCTTAAGAAGCTCTTTTTTATGCCTTTAGCTGAGATACTAATAGTAGGTTCAATCTAAATGTTCATGTTAAATGTTAAAATGGGATTGGTTTTTATAATATGCATTTTAAATTCTGTGGGCTTTTTAACTTATAACAATAAATACGAAGTGGTGTATTCTTGTTTCTAAAGGCATTTAAGAAGCATTTAAAAAATTACTCTGAATTTGTAAGTCTGTAGATGCGGGTTTCTGTAGTTACATAATGTTCTTGTGCAGTATCTAGAGATTCTTAAGTAGGAAGAGGCTGTTTGTCATTGACATCATTCACATCAGATGGACTGTTCCATTGTATATTTAGTTACAAAGATGTCCCGGTAATTTAAGAACTTGTGTCTATATTCCATTCTCTTTAGAACAGAAATTCCTTAAGAATTTGGGATAGTGATCATCCAGCTGAACAAAATTGTTTTCATAAAAAGCCATTAGTTTATCCTCTGAGTAAAGGAATGAAGGGATTAAAGTTTAGAATTTGCCTCTTTTTTAAGATTTAGAATTCTAGAAGGATGTGGTGTCTCAGTGAAAAATATTCTTTGAACTGAATCTGAATTTCTCTTATAAGTCAAAAGATTAAGGTACTAAGTTACTTTTTACTTGATATAGTATAGTTGTTTACATTGCAAAAATACAAAAACTTGAAACCCTAAAGTTTCAGAATAAAGTGATTAACATGAGTAAAAAAGTATAGAATTCTAAATCTAGAATTCTCCATATTTTTTATTGAAGTATAGTTGATATACAATATTATATCAGTTTCAGGTGTGCAACATAGTGATTCAACAATTACATATACTACAAAATGCTAACTATGGTAAGTTTAGTTATTTGTCACCAAAGACATTTACTATATTCCCTATGCTGTATATTCCATCCACAAGACTTTTATAACTGGAAGTTTGTACCTCCTTACCTCATTCACCTATTTTACCCGTTCCTTCTTCCCCTGGCAACCAACAATTTATTCTGTATATTTATGAGTCTATTTCTGGTTGGTTGGTTGGTTGGTTGGTTGGTTCATTAATTTGTTTAATTTTTTTGATTCCACATATATATCATATGGTGTTTGTTTTTGTTTGACTTATTTCACTTAGCATAATGCCCTCTAGGTCCATTCATGTTATTGCAAATGGAAAGATGTCAATCTTTTCCATGGCTGAGTAATATTCCATTGCATATATATACACTTAGGCTACTTTCATATTTTGGCTATTGTAAATAATGTGCAACAAATATAGGGGTACCTGTATCTTTTCCAGTTAGTGTTTTTCTTTTTTTCAGATAAATAACCCAGAAGTGGAATTACTGGGTCATATGGTATTTCTATTTTTAATTGTTCAAGGAGCCTCCATAGTATTTTTCATAGTATCTGCACCAATTCACATTTCCACCAACAATGCACAGCGGATCCCTTTTCTCCACGTTCTTGCCAATACTTGTCTTTTGGTACCAGCTATTCTGACTAGTGTGAGGTGATATCTCAATGTGGTTTTGATTTGCATTTTCCCGATGATTAGTGATGTTGAGTATCTTTTCATGTATCTCTTGGACATCTGTGTGTCCTGTTTGGAAAAATATTCAGGTCTTCTGCCCATTTTTTAATTGGATTATTTGGCTTTTTTTTTTTGGTGTTGAGTTACATGAGTTCTTTATATATTTTGGGCATTAACCTCTTAATAGATACATTATTTGCAAATAGCTTCTGCCACTCAGTAGGTTGCCTCCTTGCTGTGCTGAAGCTATTTAGTTTGATGTAGTCCTACTTGTTTGTTTTTGCTTTTGTTTGCCTTGCCTGGGAAGACATCCAGAAAAAAATTCCAATGTTCAAGGGTAAACTGTCTGGGTTTTTTTTAGGAGTTTTGTAGTTGCAGGTCTTACATTTAAAGTTTATTTTTGTGGTGGCCCAGTTTCATCCTTTAGCATGTAGCTGTCCAGTTTTCCCATCACCATTTATTAAAGACACTGTCTTTTCCCCCATTGTATATATTCTTTACTCCTTTTTCATATATTAAGTAAACATATAAGCATAGGTTTATTCTGGGGCTCTCTTTTCTGGCCCATTGACCTGTGTCTCTTTTTGTCCAGTACCATACTGTTTTGATTACTATAGCTT